AATTATTATTATTATTATTAATATTGTTGTTATTGTTATTGTTGTTATTGTTATTGTTGTTATTATTATTGTTGTTGTTGTTGTTGTTGTTGTTACTATCATCATCATCATCATCATCATTATTACCATTATTTTTTTTTTTTAAATAGATAATATGTTCCTTTAACAAGTTTAGTTGCGTATTGTATAAAACACACTTCTTGAGCTGGTTGTTTTTGAGATGCCACGGATTGTGTAAAGCGAGACTACCAAGGAATACGTAACCTTATTTGATTGGCGTATAACAAGCTACTCCTACAGAGACACAATGTCGTCAGAAAGGGTGGGCCATCCTATATTGCCTTGCAATCACTGGCTTCGATATTTTCTGTCTCGCATTGGCCTGATTCTCCACAAACGCCACCTTCACAGTACATATAGCAACTGCTCACTGTAGACTTCGTCATATTTTTTCACTTTTCAAAGAGGCGTACGACGGAGTCATAAAAAAAAAAAGTTTTGGTAAGTGTTTTACAGCGCTCGCAACTGCTTAAGGTCATATGAGCGCGCGGGACACACTAAACTTTAGGTTGGTAGGAAATTTTGAACTTTGCCAGTGTGGCGGCCGAAGCCTACTATTATCAATTTTAGATCACCAAGGGATCTTTAACGTGCGCAACTTGCACACGGAACCTTGATTTTTTGCCCTTGTCCGAGAAAGCTAGATGTAGATCTTTCCTTCCAGAAGATCAAGGGTGTGGCTGAAAGACATCAGTAAGAAGGAACCAAGGAGTAGCACAGTAGAAAGGCTGCAGAAAGAGTCAGAAGCCCTGCGGAGGGGGAAAGGTGGTGAGAGGGTAGGGAAAGAAATTGGAGACGAAAGAAGACGACAGAACATTGTTAGAGAGCAGGAAAGAAGGTGAAAGGAGACAATTTTAGAGAAGAACATTTTTTCAGTCGCTACCCGGATTCGAACCTGGGGTTTTTGAATGAGAGGCGAACACCTTAACCTCGAGGCCATGAGAGCCCCCTGACGGAGACCAAAACAACAAAAGTACTGTCGTCTGTTGAGACGGAACAATGCCTTCTTCTGCTCAGACTGTAGTGACGTGCGCTCGAACCTACACGAGGAGAGCTCTCGCGGTCTAGAGGTACGGTGTTCGACTTTCATTCAATAGGTCCTGTTTTTGAAACCTGACAGCGACGGAGAATTTTCTTCTCTAAAAAATGTTCTCCTCTCACCTTTCCTGCTCTCTAATGATGTTCTGTCGTCTGCTTTCGTCTCCGCTTTCTGCTCCACGCCCCTCCCAAATCTTTGCCCCTTCCTCTGAGCTCCTGACTCTTTCTGTTGCTTTTCTACTGCTATTTCTTGGCGCCTTCTTACTGCTCTCTTCAACCACCTCCCTGATCTTTGGTTAGGTAAGAACTACCACCTAGCCTTCTCCAATAAAGGCGAAAAATTTCGGGGATCCTGTGTGCAAGTTGCCCACCTTAAAGATCCTAAAATCGACATAAGAGTAAGAGTAGGCTTCGGCTGCCACCCAGAAAAATTCAAAATTAATACCTACCAAACTGAAAAAAAGCTTAATTTGTCCCGCGCGCTTATATGACCTTATACAGACGCCGTAAAACACTGGGGCCTAACAAAAACAGCAACAACAATACAACCCCAACAAACCTACTTGTGCTTCCTTCTGAGCGTCTTTGAGTTTGGTCTCCGCCACAGCAAGCTGACCCTTAATCTTCTCCATTTCCTTGTCTCTGCGCAGGATCTCGTCCGACTTGGAGGACAGCTGGTCACTCACACCTTGTCTCAGTTTCTCAATATCTCGCTGCGCGTTGATCAGCATGTCTCGCAGGTTCTGGCATTCGGTACGTTCCTCCTGTAACAACCTCTCGTTGTCTGTCAGCTTCTGCCTCCAGTCTGCCTCTTTGGCGGCGGCCTCTGTTTCCCGGAGCTGTCTCTCACGTTCAAGGTCGACTTTTCCCCGAGTTTGCACTTCAGACATGGCAAGTTCAAGGTCGCTTATCTTGCCTCTGGCGTCATCGAGAACTAGCTCAATCTCTCGTTCGTAGGATTTTTTCAGCGCGTCGATCTCCACCTCTTTCTCATGATTTCTAGTGAACAGCATGTGGACCACCTGTGTCAGCTCCGCGACTTTTTTGCACATGCGAAACTCGAAGCTTTTCTTCGGCTTCTCCAGATGGTGTGCAGACATTTTGGAGAGGAGAATTTGAGATTCTGACTTATCAATTTTATTTTGTAGACAGGTTAGTCAAGCAGCTTGGAGTCAAAGATGCACCCAGTACATCCCTGGTTGCATTAGATGGTCTCATTTTCCGCTCGATTTCTTTCTTCTAAATGTCTCATTCTTCATCTGTTCCCCATCCGTTTCATAAGACATGTAGCTGTAGGCAATCCAGCAGCGAGATTCATGTCGCCGGATCCAACTGGAAGTGAACAAAATGAAAGTTTTCATTGAATTGAAAAGCTTATTTACAAGTAGAAGTGGCACCAGAAATATGTTGGTATTGACTAGCGTATCTATCTATCTATCTATCTATCTATCTATCTATCTATCTATCTATCTATCTATCTACCTACGCATGTATTGTAAGCTTGTTTTTGCACGTGTGTCCTATAAGCACATTATCTTGCACATTTGGGGTAATCTCCCCATAGGAATTTAAAATACTATCATAACCTCCGTCAGGAAGCTGCCAGGGAGGTATGACGTCAAGGTACAAACGCCAGGGGGCATAAAAATAAACCCATTTTAGGAAATGTATCGTGTAACACCTCCGCGGTGGTGCTGTATTCTGTCGGCCATTCAATTACGTAAAAAACACATGGGGAAAGGGGGGATGTTGGGAGTGACCCGTACCTCGTAATTTCATTATCCGCGTAGCTACCACTTCTGGGCGAGGCAATTGTAATGGAACCGAGGTACAATGGAGCGTGGCGGAATCGATCACTAGATAATCGATAGAAAAATCACTTGCATCTTAAGACTTAGCAGTAAGTATTGAACTGCTCGCCAATGTGTGCGCAGCAGAAAACAAAATCAAATAAAGATCCATAAGTAGAAATTTCGTGCATTTGGGCGTGCTGCTCTTTGGCTCTCATAAATTTTATTTGC